GCGAGGACAGGGATTGATGAGAAATTTAAGGTCTTCGAGTGTATTATTATCGACATCGCCGATGATCAATTTTGTTATTTTGTTCTTGGACACTAAATGAGCAATTTGATATTCTTGTCTAGCAGATCGAGTACTTATGAGTTTTAATGGATGATAGTAGGGGTCAAATGAATCAAGATTAGGCAAACAACAAAGGATTTCGATCAATATATCAGTGTCGAGATTAGAATATGAAATACATAATAGACGGATCTGTGTCAAAGGAATACAATGCGTAAGATCAGTAATGAGCTGATCTTTGTTTTCAGACCAAAGGTACCGTACGCTGAGCGATGTAGCACGTGTAAATTGGATTGAAAAATTTGGAATCAGATGACGACCTTCAATACACATATTTTGAGCCGAATTGAGACAGGTATCACGACATGAACATGTGTCTTGATGTGTACGTTCGAAAATATAATATTGCTTTCTCCTAAATAAAGATAGATAAACATCACAACCTGAAATCATTTCATATGCACCTGTATAGTTGAGTCGAATAGAATTTCATACGACCATATTGCGAGTAATATTGATACGCAGAAAACCATTGTCGTTCAATCCAAAATGTTGAAACAAATTGATTAATCATTGCATGATATACTTGAATATTTTCAACATTTTACTTTGTTTCTTCTGATCGTCTTCATTACCTGACTCAGTAATATTTCGTTGACATTTGACTAAATGCATATAGTGAGTTTATGGTTATCTGAAAAAAAATTATAAAACTGCTGATTTGATGGACGATGTCGTCTTCTTCATTTTTTCTGTTCCAGTAGATTATGAACGAAAGTAAATATCTGAAGTTCTAGAATTCCATTGTTTCAAAATAAAAAACGTGTATTCAAAAGGATACTAAAGGGTGAGTGTGGGGTGTGGGTGTGGGTATGGATTAAGAGAAGATCAACCTACCCACACCCACCCACACTCCACACTCCACCCAATCACACACCCACGCCCACATCCTTAATCTAAGGGTGCCTTGTCACCGCCAGCTGCGGAACGGTGCGGCACTACGACCCATACATCTCTGATTCACATCCACACCCATAGTAGTGTAAGAATTAAAATCTTAATTTCATTAGATTATTTAATAATTGTAAGAGAATTTATGTTAAAATTGACCGATATTCTGACTTGAGTCAACTGCATTCACTTAATTAAAATGTCGCTTTAAATCACTAGATTTTAAAAACATCAATTCTTAGGCTCGCTTCATCATTTTAAATACCATGTTTTTGACATACAATTCACAAAAATTATGATTCTTTTGGTTTTTTAAGGCACTGGGTTGTATCATATTATTTTCCTTCCATAGATGACTTAATGACGCTTGCGTCGCGTTACTTATCCATTTTTTTTGCTTTCGTTCTGCCTCGAACGAAGATAACTACTAACAGAGAAACGAAAAAAGAACACACTTTGCCTATGACCCTTCTTTTAGCAGAGAGAAAAATTCGTTTATTCGTATTTCGTAATCCAAGGAAGTCTATATTTTGACAGTCGGTTTATTTTGTTATGAAAATTCTGACGAAAATTCGAAAAAGTGGTTGAAATTCACATGATACAACACAGCTGAAGAGACTCATGTGACGAAATTTCATATGACTCATAGATGTATAAGAATATTCTAGATTTTTCGTGAGCTGGCTGCATTTATATATTTCGAGAAACGCTAGCAAGTATACAGGATGACAGTGGCACATATTCAAGCGAGACGTGAGCTGTACGACTGTACTCTCCGTTAAGCCTGGCTTCACGTTTTATCTCGAGCAATTTTCGTTGGTAAGTTTGCGTTTTTGTCTCATTCAAAAATTTCCAAATCCGATACTGCTAGATGAGTGACTGTTTATAGATTAGACAAGTCAAAAAATACATAGACTTGCTTATTTTGCTAATTCATCCTCACCTTTCTAACTGTCACAATATTTTTTTCTCCTCATATAATGATTTACTGTATTTTAAAAAAATATGAAAATGATTCGACGAAATAAGCAGCTCGATTTATATTTGACTTGTGTAATCTATAAATAATCAAGGCTCTAATATACCGGATGAGCATGAATGCTTGCAACATCTAATATTGTGCATGAATTTCGGCCCAAATAAATCGTATGATCTTGATTTTTCTCTCAAAAAGTGGGTCACAAAATTCGCTATAAGAATGCTAATGATAAATTTTATTCAGTTAGTTTTATGGTTTTTATAAAACTATAAATGAAGTATTGTGTGATGGTGAGAGATCCCATTATTCTGAGAGAAAAAAAAAATGAAAATAACATTGATTATTTTGCATACTTGTCTGTACGAATAAATTATAAAATTTTAAATTACTATTTTTACATTCGTCGTGAGATCAGTACAGATTTTATATTAAAAGTATTTTTTAAATTGTGCCGATGAAATTTTTAGATGAGAAAAAGTAAAGACCTTTGTGATATCATTATTATCAATTATAAAAACAAAAATCCCAAATAATGAACTTTTTGGTTCGCTCATTTCGACTTCTTCTGGATGATTTGTGTTCATTAACCAAATCATCTTGATTAAATCGCTGTTTGCAACGATGAACTGTAGCACGGCACACCTTATAAGCCAACATACTTGAGATTTCTGCTTTTATTATTGATAATAATGATATCACAAAGGTCTTTACTTTTTCCTCACCTAAAAAGTTCATCAGCGCACTTCAAAAATCCTTTCAATGTAAAATCTGTAGGGATCCCAAGACAAATGTAAAAATAGAAATTTAAAATTTTATAATTTATTGGTACAGACAAGTATGCAGAATAATCAATGTTATTTTCATTTTTGTTTCTCTCAGGCTAATGGGATCTCTCACCATCACACAATACTTCATTTTTAGCTTTATAAAAACCATAAAACTAACTGAATAAAATTTATCATTAGCATTCTTATAGCGAATTTTGTGACGCACTTTTTGAGAGAAAAATCAAGATCATACGATTTATTTGGGCTGAAATGCTTGCAAAATATGAGATGTTGCAATCATTATGACTCACCCGGTATATGCTAATGTTTCTCGCAACATACGGGTATCATTAATTGGTAAAAAATCTCGAACTTTTTTATGTGTCGATGATAGTCGTGTGAAGTTTCGTCACCTAAATTTCTTCATTTCAATTTCGTTATTTCAACTTGCATAAGTTTCTCGAATTTCTCTCAGGATTTCGCCAATCTGTAGTTTGTTGTGAAAATTCTGACGAAAATGCAAAAAAAAATGTCGAAATTCAAGCGGCGTAATACAGATGTAGAGATTCAGGTGATAACATTTCACACAGCTATTATTGATGCATAATAATGCTTACGGTTCGTAGTGAGCTAGTGACATCTATATTACTAGTCAAAAGTATCCATCATCGGATCTCAGTCCATATCAGAGCTACACTTCTGAAAACTTACCTGCATGTAGTCCACAAATGACGTAGGTCAGCAGTAGCATCAATTCCCAAATCATTCAAGCTACAAGGGAGTTATAATAGTTGGCACCCGCGACCATTGTGAACTATATAAATCAAGAACAAAAAGTCATTTGAGTCGTTTTACCCCTCATTTTGTAGATTTGGATCAAGACTACTATTAATATAAATTTTATCTTGCTACTGATGAGATAGATCATTTTTACTGGAAAAACGCATATGCACAAAATTCGTACAACGCCATTTTGTATTTCATAACTCAGCAATAGTTTAATGGATCCATTTGAAATTATTAGGAAGTGCTCCATCATAGTTGGCCATTGTACTCTGAAAGTTTTCAAAGCCCATACTTAACTAAACGAGAATGGCTTACTGATCGTCATGGCAAACTTATCGGGATGTTGGCGTATCCGTTATTCAAGGACATGAGCTCATCTTTTGATCAATGAAGGAATATGAGTTGAGCTATAGGTTTATGATAAAAGATCGCTAAATTCTCATGTATTAATATAAAAACAAAACATGACACGATCAACGTATATTTTGCTATTTTCTCTATGGTGCATTAATTATTTTTATTTATCGACGTTTTTCTATAAAACAATTTTTCAACGGTCTGAAGTTATTAGAAACGATAGAGTCTAGCTGTCTTCATTGCTGGACGTAATATTGGGATTGAACTTGATGAGAATTACATCGAAATCATGATAGATAATTCTCAATATAAGAATTACTAGCAACTGAGGATGTGGGTGTAATATTCTCTTGACTTATGCATAGCCACATGCACTCACACATCCTGCGGACGTCAATTGTTGTAACTCCGTTGTAGTGTGCGGGAGTTGAGCATTGACATTACCGTTGACCTATATTATTTGTGAACTACATACATACAAATTTTCAGAAGTTTAGCTCTGATATGGACTGATATTCGAGGTAGATACTTTTGGCCAGTAGTGTGTATTTTGCTGAATAAAATAACACGTTTTTCGAAATTGTAGATTATTTTTTAATTTGAAGACCCACAAAACACTTGGTCGTTTATCATCTTTTTCATGTTGAAAAATTATCGTTTTTTGAATGAAAAATTGAGAGTTCTCCTCATGTTTTTTAAAACATTATTTATAAGAAGTTTGCTTCTGTAGATTTTAATACACTGTTTGTCATAGAAACAAGTGTAAACTTGCACAGTTTAGTTATATACAGTGTTACAGACATGTTGTCCATACCGCTTCATAGTATTATGCTTTCTTTTTTTCGTTGTGTTGTTTCTTATGATAGTATTCATTATGATATGATGATTCAGACTAGTGTATTTTCGTAATAATGAAAACACAGAAAGAAATCGAATAAGGTACTTCTAATACACAGTGTACAAAAGAGTTTATTAGGACTGCGATTAACAATGTACGACGAGGAAAAAGAAAGCTGAAAGAAGTTTCGACAGCATCAATAATTATAATTATATTTCTCTTTTGTTTTAGATTCGTATTAGTCATTTCCAATAAGACAGAGATGGACGATTTACAAAATTTAGAATATCTCTCGCTGGTATCAAAAGTTTGTACGGAACTGGATAATCATTTGGGTATTAATGATAAAGATTTAGCTGAATTTATAATACGTATGGCTCAATCTAGTGATTCTTATGATTTGTTTAAGAAGAAATTAGTGGAAAATGACGCTGGTTTTTCTGATTCATTCAGTAGTAATCTTTATCAAATTATTCAAACAATGTTACCAACTTCTGAAAATCATCATGAAACAGAAAATGAACAATCTCGACAATTAGTGGATGTTGCATTGCGTAAATCAATTTGTCGTTTTCCAAGTAGACTTAATGATCCATCAGAGAGAGTAAGTTGATTTCATTTTTATTACTATCAATTTCATATTTATTTATAGACAATGCTTGATGAAGAAATAAAACAAAATACTGAAAATGAAAAAGATAATCAAGTTGTTGATGATCTTATGAATGAATTAGAAAGTCTTCAAGCTAATGTTAAATCTGGTCAATCAATAAAACATGACCATGATGATGAACATAAGAAAAAGAAAAAACATCGTCATCATCATTCATCTGATTCAAAATATGACCGAAAAAACTCTCGGTATTATATTTTTATTCATATTTTGTCTTTTTCTAAACGTTTTCTTAAAAATTCTAGTCACAAAAATCGTAGACATCGTTGTTCTTCAACCGATTCTTATAGTAGTAGTCGTAGTAGTGATAATGATAGTTCATCAAAAAAATCTCGACATTGTGCTCATAAGGAATCTTCACCAGGACGAAAACGATCGTCATCAATGCTAGACAAGCCAATGCCTGGTTCAATTTATGATCGCACAGTCCTGTCAATAGGCCAACATGAACGTTTTTCTGATGATGACGATTTAGAAATTGAATTAGTTGAAGAAGCAGCACCATTTCTTAAAGATTATGGTAAACAAAGTTTACAAGATTTATATTCAATAAAAATTGTTAAAAATCCTGACGGTTCATTGCAAAAAGCAGCTATGATACAAAATGCTTTATTAAAAGAATGTCGAGAAATAAAACAACGTAGTGAAACATTTCGTCCTACTGAAGCAAATAATGATGACCCAATGAATTCAAATAATTCAACATCCCGTTCTTTAACATCATCAGAAATTAATGCAAAACCATCAGCTAATTTATCAATATGGAAAGAATCTTTCATGAATAATAAAACAACATTTGATAGACAAACAACAATGAGTATTATTAAACAACGACAAAGTTTACCAATTTATAAATTAAAAGAACAATTACTTAAAGCTGTTCATGATAATCAAATACTGATTGTTATTGGTGAAACTGGTGCAGGTAAAACAACACAAATAACACAATATTTAGCTGAAGTAGGTTATGCATCACGTGGTCGTATTGTATGTACACAACCACGCCGTGTTGCTGCTATGTCAGTTGCAAAACGTGTTGCTGAAGAATTTGGTTGTCGTCTTGGACAAGAAATTGGTTATACAATTCGATTTGAAAATTGTACATCACCTGAAACTAAAATCAAATATGTGACTGATGGCATGTTATTACGTGAATGTTTAATTGATCCAGATATGAATCAATATTCTGTAGTTATCCTGGATGAAGCACATGAGCGTACTATTCATACGGATGTTCTTTTTGGATTAATGAAACAAGTAAGTCAAATAAACTTGTTATTAATAGTATAATAAAATTAAGAAAATATTTGAATTTATGATAAAATCTCTCCAATTATTAAGTCGCTTTTGAATCGAAAACTATCAAGTATTATGTTATCGATCATGTTAATTCCAAATATTATCATGACAATTTTCTGTAATAAGAACGTTTTTCATCGATCCAGAGTGCAAAGCGAATAGATTTGTGTATAGAAAGCTATATTTTCATTTCAGAACTATTATAGAGTTCTTTATGGACGTTTTAAAATTAAAAAGAAAAATAGTTTTGTAAACAACTCGATGCCATTATACAATTGAAACGGATTAAAAACCACTTTTTGGTTTAAAACTGTTGTTGTCTTGATCAGTTCATTTTTGAGAAAATCAATCTAGAACGATCTAGCAGTGGTTTGCATGATAATATTAGAAATCAACATAGTCGATAATTTATAATTTTTATAATCTTTTGTATCGTAAAATCAAAATCGAAAAATATTATTTCATCCCAAAATCACTCCAACACCCTCCAAACGAGATAAATTATGACGAATTCGACAATGATGTCTATTTATCAATTATTATATTTCACATTACATTGCTGAAGAGCAAGTATCTATCAAACGTGGGCAAGATACATGATGATTTCGTGCGAGAGGATGCTAATCTTTGATCAATCATTTCACCATCTTGAGAATAATAAATTTCATTTGGGATAATGTATCTGGTGTTGAGTTTGCATCAATGTAAAGGTCATAAATTAATAGATACTATCATTCAGAAGAAAACTATTCCACCTGTAATCCGTCCGTCATTTGAACTCATGGGAAGGTCTCGAGGTTAGACTAGAGAAGGCCTAAAAGGGTTCGTGTTTGGAGCTCAGTCCTAGATGGAACCGGTCTACTGGTAAAACATCGCTTTCCTCTGTTAAAAATGTGCACAGAATGGAAAATTTATGGATTTTTTTACACCACAGTTGCTCAACAATTTTCTGTTGTACTTTATTTTTGAGAACTTAAAAAAAAAGAAGTTATCTGGTAGACTGATTTAGATCAGTTGGGACTAGTAGATCGATATTTCACCGGTTCCATCTATGACCTCAGGTATGGTCGTTTCACTGAATTTTCGATCCTATTTTGGGTATTTACTGGGAAATCAAATAATGAAACTTCGACTTGAAAATTTTTCCATCGATCGGTCTAAACCAACCGAAAAATATCCTGACAGTTTCAGCCGAAAATTAAGGCAGGGAGATGGGGCGATTAAGGCCTATAATATATGGGTAAAGTTTCAGGTCAAAAATTCAATGAAACAGCCACAGTTCGGTTTCAAAGGTCTACGGGCACGAACCCTTTTAGACTGTTTATCGAAGCTTTCTTATGAATCCAATATCAGCTCAAACCGCGGGCTATAGTTTTCGTAGTTTTCTCAATAGAATAAAACGAATCCTGCTATTTTCTATTATTTCTTTTAAAACAAAATAAAATAAACTTAACAAAATCTAACTTTTCATATATTTAGGCTGTTCAAAAACGTTCTGAATTGAAATTAATTGTTACCTCTGCCACATTGGATTCAATAAAATTTTCTGACTATTTTTTTAAAACAGTAAGTTATATATATATATATTTATATTTAACTTTAAATATATGTATTAATTTCATTTTGTATAGCCAATTTTTACAATCCCAGGTCGAACATTTCCTGTTGAAGTACTTTATAGAAAAGAACCTGAAACTGATTATCTTGATGCATCACTTATTACTGTAATGCAAATTCATTTAAATGAACCACCTGGTATATATTATTGATTACAAAAAGTATGTTTTTATTTTTATTGTTTAGGTGATATTTTGGTATTCTTAACTGGTCAAGAAGAAATTGATACTGCATGTAAAATTTTATATGAACGAATAAAAAAATTAGACTCTGAAGTTCCAGAATTAATTATATTACCAGTATATTCAGCATTACTTAGTGAAGTGCAAACAAAAATTTTTGATCCAGCACCTCCAGGTTCACGAAAAGTATGTTATCACGATAGTTTGTTTTTTGTTAAATCTATTTTAATAGGTTATTATTGCAACAAATATTGCTGAAACATCATTAACAATTGATGGTATTTATTATGTTGTTGATCCAGGATTTGTGAAACAAAAAGTCTTCAATCCTAAATCAAACATGGATAATCTTGTTGTAACACCAATTAGTCAAGTATGTTATATTTCTTTTGAAATGATAAAATTTTAAAACAAATTATTTAGGCTCAAGCAAAACAACGTATGGGTCGTGCAGGTCGAACAGGTCCAGGAAAAGTTTTTCGTTTATATACTGAACGAGCATATCATGATGAAATGCTTGCAACTAATGTACCTGAAATTCAACGAACAAATTTAGCTAGTACAGTTTTAATTTTAAAAGCTATGGGTATCAATGATTTATTATCATTTGATTTTATGGATCCACCACCATTAGAAACAATGATTGTGGCTATGGAACAATTACATGCATTGAATGCATTAGATAATGATGGTCTTTTAACTGAACTTGGTCGTCGTATGGCTGAATTTCCACTTGAACCGCAACTATCGAAAATGTTAATTATGTCTGTTGAATTACATTGTGCTGAAGAAGCATTAACTATTGTTTCAATGCTTTCTGTTGAAAATGTTTTTTATCGTCCAAAAGTATGATTTCGTTTTCTTTTTGATTTTATTAAGTTTTTTTCCTATAGGAAAAAGCTGAACAAGCTGATCAATGTAAAGCTCGTTTTCATCAAGTTGAAGGTGATCATTTAACACTACTTGCTGTTTATAATGCTTGGAAACAAAATAAATTTTCAAATTTATGGTGTTATGAAAATTTTGTACAACAACGTTCACTTAAACGTGCACAAGATATTCGAAAACAAATATTAGGAATTATGAATCGGTAACTTTTTTTGTTTTATACCAAGAGAAGTTCTAATTTGTTTTTTCTTATATTCAGACACAAATTGGATATTTTATCATGTGGAAGACAAACTGGACTTGTTCAAAAAGCAATTTGTTCTGGTTTCTTTCGAAATGCAGCAAAACGTGATCCAAAAGAAGGTAAGATTTCAAAAAAATATTAACAATAATATTCATGAATATATTTTAGGTTATCGAACATTAGTTGATAGTCAAGTAGTTTATATTCATCCATCAAGTTCAATTTATCATCAACAACCAGAATGGTATGAATAATAATTCGTCTTATTTTTTTTTTATTTCTCAAAATAATAATTGTTATTATTATTATTATTATTTAGGCTTTGTTATCATGAACTTGTATTCACAACAAAAGAATATATGCGTGAAATTTGTGTTATTAATCCTAAATGGCTTGTTGAGTCTGCACCGAAATTTTTTAAAATTGGAGATTCGATAAGATTATCCAAAATGAAAAAAGAACAACACATCCAACCATTATACAACAAATCCGAAGAACCAAATTCATGACGTATCTCACGTCTTCATCGACCTTATTACAATCCAACTGGAAAATTTGGTTAAACAAGAATCTATTTCCTACTTCTTCAGTTTCGTTTTGAATATATGCAAAAGTTTATATGTTTGTTTGTTTGTGTTTATTTACGGAAAAACAAAATAATACATTGTTTTTTGAATAAAATCAAATGCAAATTTATTTATTTGATTGTCAAGAAAAAAAATGATTAAGCACGAAAACCTTCTTTGTACTATTATTAAATTAGAAAATTTCATTTTGCTCAAATTCAGAAAGGGTGTGGGTGTGTAATGTTTACTCTCATCCACACCCACGCCCAATGATTCGAGTAGAAAACGTGTAAAAATCGTTTTTGTAGGCATAAGAAATTCGATCATTGATTTTCCAACAACAAATAACCAGATAGCAACTGAAGATATTCGATTGCATAATATCATTAAAAGACGAAATAATAGTATTCGCATTGAAAATTTATTTGATGATAACAATCATATTCAAAACAATGATCCTCGTAGATAAGGATAAAAAGTGCTGTCTTCTTGAATACTAAACATGTGCATAAGATGAATTTTTTCTTTTGATTGACAAATTTATAGTTGTTTTGAAACATTGTCCGATGAATTATTGCTTATGATAATATCTCATCTGAGTTCGTCCAATTGTATTCAAGCATTCTATGGTCTTCATCAACGATTAGATAGAATTGTAGCGAAGTCTACATGTTATTTCATCATACCCTATTGCACACCATTCGTTTGGTTTTTTGAATACATAGCGTGCATTGAATATATAATTGAAACAATTTGTTTGAATATCGATTCTGTACTTCATGTCTTTTCATGTACATATAAGTTTCCTAAACTTCAATCAATTATTTCGAAGGGTTCATCTAATTTTACTGTCGAATTAAATGTTGCACATTATTCCGTGCTTGGTTCGATTGTATCCTGTTTGAATATTCTTGGAATTTGTAATATCTGGATTGTTGAAGAATCACACTATGATTTCTTAGAATCGTCTGAATAAAATGGATTTAAAAATGACGAGCAGGTCTGTATGGACTAGTTATTTTTATTTTTATTATATCTTTCATGACAATTAGTTTTTAGGTTGAAGCTATCGAAAAAACTTTATCGTGTCCAGCTATTGTACGTCTATGTATCGAAGAATGCTCAGATCAAGACATGCTTTGTCTTTGTGCACTGGCACCCAACTTATCTAAACTTCGGATTATATCTCTCGAATTAAAGCGCAACTTTTCAAAGTATTCAGCTGTGTCGGCACTGATCTTGAAACAAACATATCTAACACAATTACATATTGTTATTAATAATACTACTGATGTATATTGGAGTTCTATTGATAAGTTAATAAGTTTTCATCAATATTCTATAAAACAATTGACCTTGATGATATGTAATTATTATTTTGATTTCAATGAAAGACGATTACAGGCATTAGCTCAATCCTGTCAAAATTTAGAAAAAATTACAATTTGTCTTTCAATACAAGATTCAAAAGGTCAGTGTTATAGAGGATCTAATTCATTTTCAGAGTGAATGGTGGATGAATGTTCGTCAACCACCAGTGATGCTGTTATACAATGACGAGAACCAAATATTGGTCTGTTCAATACTCTGTGCTGTTCCAGTGACTTTTAAGTTTTCAATTGATCCTCGTGCATGGTTACTAAATAAAAGAGAATTTGATTCGCTTCTTATCTACTTTACCAAAATAAGAATAATCTATTTCCAGTATAGTCACTTGCAGTTAATCAATTTCGATTTATTATTGTTCATTAATCGAATTTTTCGTTCGAATCAGCAAATACTCAGATTTGACGATTGGCTATTGGTCTGTGTTGAGTCAATTTCTACGCAGTTATGTTTCAATGATCGTTCTATTCCGCATGATTATTCACAGAAACAAAATTGACGGCCTTATGTTATGATTATTAAAGAGTATGGGTACAGATCCAACAGAATTACTCGTAAACACACACCCACACCCTCTTGTTGAGATTAATCTCTACAGCGCTTCTCCCGAGAGCCCCGAAAAAAATGCACATTTACTTAACAGCAGGAAAATATGCACAACAAGCAAAATGCGACAGGTAAATGTCCCATACCAATTGCTTTTGTCTTGCACAAAAAAACACGATTATTAAATCTATCTCTCTGCCGATTTCTGACATTTTTTCACCATCGAATGACACAAAAAGTTTTCTACAATCCTATACTCTCTCCATCGAAAGCTTAGCCTATGTTGGAATACTGGATTTGCTACCGGAAGCTTGAAATATTTTGTTGTGTATATTTTCCTATCGATAGGTAAATGTACAATCATAGTTTGTTTTGAGGATGAGGGTAAATATAAATGAACTATCACAATCGATTTCATTTAAACATTGTTGTACTTCGACAAATGTCCCTAGAGTGGATGCCAGCACTGGTTATTGCGTCATTTCTGTTACATCGTTAAGTTATCTAATGTTTTGTTTACTTTTTTGCAACGATAGTTTTCTGAATAGTGTGATGATTCGGAGAAAATATAAACAGAATAAATATATTCGTAACGACTTTATTTTATATCTTTTTGGACCACAGTAATATAATAACTATAATAGTAGAATTTTCGACCTTGATTGTTAGTAGTTTCTGATGAAGAACGGTCATCATCGGTATGATCTTAAATAGTTTAAATAATATGGCAAATTTAATAAACATAAAACTATCAATCTCGTTTACATATAGGGTGGTCTATAAGTAGCTTTACGATGTGGGTATAGTTGAGGCTCTTTTATTCGTCATTTATACCATCAGCCTTCAAAACTATCGATTGTTACAGCAGTTTTGAGATTGTCTCCTGTCTCTGCTTTATAGTGCATGAGTAAATATCAAATAAATGGAAAACCAATGTTTTACTCAAACACACTTATAATACACTGAATGATATCATTTCTCGTCTACATATATCTTAGTTCCATCATATATATGACAGTCATTCTTTAGACATTAGTTTCTAACCCATTTGAATATGTTTTTTTATATTTGGAAGTATGAATACCAATCTTATACTTCGTGCGCCACTGTCAAAATATGTATCTTTTTCTCATGTTGGAAAATTCCAACTTCTTTAACGCCATATTATTACTCAAACTCGAAAGTAAATGCATACATACCTTTTTTTGACTATTCTTCCTTCTTCACTTCTACTTTGATGATTTTCTTTTCGTTCTCAATGTTTGTCATTTTCATCATGTTCTTTGTTTGGCAATAAGAAAAACAACGTGCTATATCTTGAAGAATAATTTTTCGTTGTATTTTCAAGAAAAACTTATTCTTAGTTTTCTTATTATCGAAGTTCTCTTTCGAATAGTAAACTCAATAGATAAGTATTTTATATTTTATATTTCAACTGTATTTTCAAATGTATCTTGACTAAAAACGCTATGTAAATCTCTATTCAACAAATCCAAAACCATTCTCATTATAAATTGGCTACAGAAAGGTATTGTTTGATGAATGATCTTTTATCCTCTTTGTCAGAAAATACGATATTCTGATCGAAGTCCCAGAGAAAAGAAACCAACCTCACGTAAGCCCATACTTCCTTTCGAATGATTCATATAATGAGTGAAGCTCTTTTTTTTGCTTCTATTTGTAATCGGTTTTTTCTTATCACATTTTTCCTTTCTGTCAATAATGTGTGGTTGCCCATGTAGGTGAATGTGCTCTTTACTAGTTTTAGAATTGCTTTTGAAATGGAACAAATGAAACGATCACTCAGTGACATTTTCCATGATAACAAGAGACAAAAGAGAAAAGGTAAAAATCATATTTTTCATTCTTTTTCTAGCATTTGATATTTTTGTCTCTTCAGAAATATATATCACAAAATTTGAAGATTTATCGAATGAACTTTTATATGAGATATTTGAATTTCTGGATGTTTATCATGCATACGAGGCATTTTTCAATCTTAATCTTCGATTTCATGATCTTCTTACCTATTCAATTCTTCCTATTAACATCAAGATTTCATTGATGTCGAAATCGGCTTTTGAACGTTATACTACAAAAATGATTATGCCCAACAGAGATCGAATTCATTCAATTCATGTATCAAATCTATTCATTTATAATCTTGAAATTTCACCGACTTATAAGATATCAGAATTTGTTCGACTGGAAAAACTTATTCTTGAGAATATTGAATCAATATATCTGGAAAAAATTCTTTCCCAATTACACACGCTCTCCTTGCTGTCGTCATTGATTATCATCTCTTTCGATCATCGTAGAAATAGATTTGGTTTCTATTATGGTGAAAATATAAATACTATCTATCATCAAATATTTCGTCTTTCTGTATTGAAATATTGCAAATTGTCATTGGAAGGATTCTCTACCCGTGAGCTATTACCAGTGGCAACGAATGAATATAGCCCTATCGAACATCTTATCATCGACCATAGCATCTCTACCTATGAACTTGATTGTCTTCTATCATATGTTCCTCAACTTCGACGTTTGGATATTCATTCATTAGAAAGTTCTTTGAGTACTCAAAAGAGAATATCTCCACATGTATTCAATCATTTGACACATGTTTCTCTTAAACTGAAATACATGGGCTTTGATCGATTGGAATCATTGATCATAGATCTCTTCTCTAAGATTCAAGTTTTACGTATTTCAATCAAATATAATTACGATGTAGCTTATGCAGATAATAAAAGATGGGAACAACTGATAGTATCTCATATGCCAAACTTACGTATATTTGACATTCGACACGAAGATTGGCCAAAACATGCTAATAATAAGCAGTTAGTGTTAGATACACAGATCAACCCATTCACATCTTCATTTTGGATCGAACGACAATGGTTCTTCGCACATCAATGTTATCAATCAAGATATGCAAATAGTACAATTTTCTATTCCACAAATCCATACAGGTATCTATAGATTCGAATTTTGATTGCAGC